GGCGTTGTCTGTCTGGTCAACACCCAGTGGAGCTGAGAGTCTCCGTAGGTTCCGGGCGTTAAGTGGTTGCTTTCAGGAAGCTGACCTTCCTGATAGCAGACAACATTGTTCTCGTTCTCGAAAAGAAGCGCAGGCATTTTCGACGAACTCGGCCAAAGTCATTCCGTCCTTTGGTATGCACTTTGCACCCACAGTTTATGATACCGTTCCTGGACATGCAGTCGCGGAACACGCCGTTTACAATCTAAGGAAAGTCATTCGAATTTGTGGAACGCTTTATATATCTTTTATGTTGTATTAGTTGTGATTGTAGTGTGACGGACGAGGTCAACGCACTAATCTGAAAGCTGCGGTCGCATTTGCTTTGAATCTCAAGGCACGTGTATATCAAGCTACAGTACGAGCTGTTTTGTTGTATGGCTGAAAATTGACCTTTTTGGTCAGCTGAACTGAGACGTCTTTAGGTGTTCGACAACCGTTGTCTCAGAACCATAGCTTGTGTGGGTTGGTGTCGGCTAATCCTTAACAAAGCAATTAGAAAGCTAGTGTTCGGTTTTGCATCGGAGACTTCCATCGAAGAATGTGTCCAGCACCAGAAGCTGCGATGGTTGGGACATGTGTTGCGTGAAATAAATTATCTTTTGCCGAAGAGGTTTCTGTTTTCCGTGCCAATTTCGGAGTGTCGGAAGCAAGAAGGTGAACGACCCTTAAGCAGAGGGTATGCGATGGTTGGGACATGTGTTGCGTATGTGAAATTATCTTTTGCCGAAGAGGTTTCTGTTTTCCGTGCCAATTTCGGAGTGTCGGAAGCAAGAAGGTGAACGACCCTTAACTTGGCAGAGGGTATGAAGGAGATCACGAAAAGTCTGGGTGCTGTCGGTGCTACTGACCTTCCAGGATGAGGACCGCGCGATCCCCGCTGCGCCTGGTTGGAGATACTGCAAGTTCCCCGCTGCGCCTGGTTGGAGATATTGCAAGACGTCGCTTCTAATCGGTGTCAGTGGCGTTTCTGTTGTTATTTTCTACCCAGATTACCTGAATGAGTGACTGTAGGTGTACGCACCTCAGAATGATTGTAGTAGACTACCACTAAGTCCCTTCCCGTCCACTTTTTTCTTCATAATAAGGCTTTCAAGCATATCATGGTTGTACGGCGGCGTTGAACAATAGTGTCGTGTTGTCAATGGTGATGATGATATCACGATTGTCGTGGACGAGCAAGCTTCGTGACTTCTGTAATAACTTTAGAGCGACTGCGGGGTGTTTGGTCACATAAACTGAAATGCCTACCTTCAGACTCATGAAATCGTAATTCCGGTTGGGATCGATGGATTTAGGCTATGGGGTGTTTGGTCACATAAACTGAAATGCCTACCTTCAGACTCATGAAATCGTAATTCCGGTTGGGATCGATGGATTTCAGGCTATCTGATTTGCTGCACAACTTCAAAGTCGTCCGTCCGCAAATTTCGGATGTTGGCGGTGTTTGGCATGATAAAACAAAGATAGCATGGACACGACAATTCAGTATTTTCATACAGGGAGCAATAATGCTTTGCAATCACAAATACGGGCAATAGTAAACACATCTCTTCCACCGCCCGCTTCTCTCTCTTCTCCGACCTCGCTCTATCATACTCCTTACGGCATACAACTGCCTGGAACTGTTAAATCAGCTATATTGGATTCGAGTGATAATACGATTGGTCCAGAAGCCCCCAATAGACGAGATAATAGCTTTTGGAATGGGAACGTTGTACGAAAAAAAAACGGCTTTTGATTGAAACAAAAGCTATGAAGAAAAGCGAGTGGTGGATTGAGTTGGATTTTCTTTGTGAGCGTCGAATTTCGCACAGAGACTTCTAGAGTCCCAAGAATGATTGTGAGGTAGTTCATCTCTGACGTCGCAGTTTACTGTAGAATTGAGGGACAGCAGTAAAGCCAACCCACAAGCTCCAGTTGAAGGACTTTTTGTATCTTGAGCAGTACAATTTTAGTGAGTCCAACCGTTTCTGTTCGAAGGATTGCTACTTTGCTTTTAGAGTCCTTGAAATTACCTCTTTTTCGTTTATAGTCCCCGGTATCGTTGGTACCATGCAAGCAGCGGAGGCGATCAAGTTAATCGCTGGTGTTGGAAGTAAGTTGGTATTAAATTGTATTCACTGAGCGTATTCAGGTTCTTTCTCTCTAGCAGTGTCGGTTTAGAAACTCCACACTGGATGTCTAGTTCCCACTAAGTACTCGGTCTTCCCGTTCATTTATCCGGCAATTTGCTAGGGGTTGATGTCAGTACATCCATCGGTTGCCAATCTAAGTATGGATTAACCCAAACACTGAATCTGTGGGAACCGTGGACAATTCGGGAACACTCACTTTCCTTTGTTTCTATGCTATTTGATGTCCTGCCATTTCCAGCACGAAGGTTTGATAACCGCATCAGGAATTAATTCATTTCTTCCAAGACAATTTTTTTCGGATCGCGCTGTCACTACAATCGCATAACCCTGCCGAACACCGTAGACATAGAAGTTTTTTCAACCGTGATTTCCTGACTCTAGCTATGAATACTGGAAAGCGTCCAAGTTTCTAGGCACAATGTTTCATGAATTTCTATTTTCAAGTCTGATTTGCACGCCGTAGCTCTATTTATTCTTTGCATCTTTGTTTGCAACGTCACTTTTCAAAGCTGTCCACAGTGGCCGACTCCTGGTGTTGGACATGGAACGCAATCTAACGCGTACAGTGGTCTTGCGTGATCCGCGACCCGATTGTCCAGTATGCGGAGAACATGCTAACTTCACCCCCGATAGAATTCTGCAGCTGAACTATGTACTATTCTGCGGAGCACCAGATCATGATAAGGTTGGTGAACACGTTAGCACTTGTGGGACAAACGATGTTAGACTCGGATGTCACATTTATCTAAAGTTCATCAATTCATCGTAGAGCGCTGCGTCCAGGTTATGACCATTTTGTTACTAAGATCACGTCGGAAAACTTGGGGCAGAGACATTTTTTATGCCTTGCTCACTAGCGTATGGGTACTATCATTGTATGGTGCGATTTGGCAATCTCCATAAGCTGCTTTCTCTTCTTTTCGACCCTAACTGCTTTTTGTTGTTTTTTCCCAATCGATCATCTGCACCTCAGCCATCATCGGTCAATATGGATCGACTACGGAACCGGATCACAGTCCAGGTATGTTCACTTTGCCCCCAACGTCTTCCATTTAACGTAGTCCATCACCTTACAGACATGGCTAGTATTCATTGTTTTTGCCTACAGCAGTGGAGTGTCGCACATTCCTGACGTCTGACTGACACCAATGTTAACTGTCTTTGTTCTGTCTCAGCAACTCGACGAATTGCGGCGCCTTGGAAGACCGCATGTATTGCTCGACATACGACCAGAAGTAGAAGTAGATCTGTGCCGTCTCACTCCCTGTTTGCGTGAGTTGACTTTATTGGGTTCAGCTTCTGTTCACCTTAGCTGTTTTATGATGTCCAACTCCTAGTTACTTGACAGATTACTAAACTGTGCATCTTGAGTGAGAATAGGAGCTGCAAGCACGGTTGCCGAATCGATAATGTTAACATTACCGGGACGTCACTGCGCCCATGCAGGGTCAGCATTTTTGTGTGTAATAAGGCAGAATGTTTCTAACCTAACTGGGTAGTCGTTGCTGGTTTTCTGTACGGAGTTAGTTGGTAGTGTCTGTGACTGAGAGGCTAACCGTGGCCAGCTTATTGTTTTCTGTGAACCCTACTTTTTGTTTGGAGCTGTTCAGTATGACGGACTGCGATGAAAACGTTTTCCATGGTCAGTTAGTCGGTTGGTGCGTCAACATGCGATTTGTGGTCAATAGGGTAGATCCTATTCTCGGAAATATTATACCTCAATCCTCACGACGTCAACATGTTTCCGTTGACTCAGAAGTTTTTTTCGACAGCCTACTGTTTTGATTATTATTATTATTAGATTATTATTAACTGTTCACCGTTTGTCAATTTAACAGGCTTTCCAGCACCAACACTTCTCCGTGACACTGTCCTATCTCAAATTCAAGAGGCGCTAAACGAAAAACTGAAGCAATCTAATGAACGTCCTGTTCCAAGTAAGATGTTGAAAGTCGATTTTTACTCCGTACCAAGCACATGCTTTCGTACTTGATACCCGGAATTACATATGTATACGTGCTTCAAGATGTTTCCTAATTTCCTTTGATTAAGTCGCTTTCAAGGCATAACAAGTTGCTAACTGGGGGAAGCCAACCTAGAATAACGTAGCGTCTTCTGTATGTTGAGCGTCATATGTGCGAAACTGAGAAATCTGCTGAATGGCAAAACGAATGGACAGATCCGTTGGATGACAAGTGAATAGAAGAAGTACTCCTAAAGTTTCTTGGAAGGAAGCTAGATTCATCCCGACCACTGGAAGGGGAAACAAACTTTTGGGGGCCACATTTTCTTTTTCAGGTTGTCTGTGCTTTATTTATCGCATAGGTTGAGCAACAGCTTTCGTAAGGTGAAGCTACGTAAGTATCAGTGGGTATTTCTCAGCATATATGTTCATGCTCTATATTTTTTACGTGATCAGGTACTAGAATCCTCTCCGGTGTATTTCTTTTTTTTAGTGTTACACCATACCAGGTTAAGCTTTGAAATCCAATAAGACGGCTTTTTGGTCACACATAACAAACCACATGTAAACATTCAAAAGTGGATGCTCTCCATCCACTGGATGCCGTTCGTTCGGCTGTAACACCCTTTCCGTGCCTAATTGCCTCGTCACCCGAAAGAAGCATGGGAGCTGAGATACTGTCAGGTTGACCATGCCTTGACAGGAGCAGTCGAAATGCCGAGGTCGGGCCTTGCAGTCAATAAGTTCGTAGCTGAACCACTGAGTTATCTCGAGCTCGTAGATGTTGTTCAATAGCTATCTACCGACAGTTTGTTGTTACCCTTATCTACTCCGCACTTGTGCTTCCTGTAAGATCGCGTGTGCATGGTTGGTAGCGTAGTAACGGATATTTTCAACTAAGTTCCCGTATGGGAACCACACCGTAATCAGTCATTTCACGAGGATAATCCAGTATGAAGTGGGTCGCCTGGCTGCGCCGTCACGTCTCCTGTTTCTTTCACGATGGCACTATGGCGTCGATAATGTGGCCTTTGGTACGTTGCACTCCTTCATCATGCCGCCTGATGTGTCATGACGTTGAAACGCCATTTGGTTGGTGTTTGTCATTCTGCAAATGAAGTTTTCCAAGTTCCTGCAGGATGTTCTAGTTTGTTTGCTTATGCGCTTACCTGAACAACGCCTGTGGGCTCCTGTAGCTCCATGTCCTGGGATAGTATACATAGCCATCAGCTGTCAGTAACTTTGATTCCTTGTCTCTATTTTTCGAGAAATACACTCATTTGTAAATCACCCCGAGTTTCCGTCAACCTTATGATCTACTTGAACCCAAATTGCACTGTTTTCGAGAAATACACTCATTTGCAAATCAATTCGGTTTTCACGGGAGACTCAATTGAATCTCTCGTTAGTGATGATCATAAACGAGAGATTCAATTGAGTCTCCCGTGAAAACCGAATTGATTTGCAAATGAGTGTATTTCTCGAAAACAGTGCAATTTGGGTTCAAGTAGATCATAAGGTTGACGGAAACTCGGGGACTGCGCCTAAGTGATGAGCCCCAAGAAAGGCGAAACCGGTCGTGGGCTGTCGAAGAGTTCTCAGCAACCTTGTGAGTAGTTTCCTTTATGAAAACACATTATTTTTATAACAAAACCCCATTCTCAAGGTGCCTAGCTCCTTTGGAGCGCATGCGCCATTATATAACCTCAAAACATTATTTATTAGAATGCGTTTCTCACGCTGCTTTTTCATCCACAGTCGTGGTGCTCTGTCACCGGGGGAATAAGTCGAAGGTAGCAGCCACTCAACTGGCCAGTGCGCTTTCTGCATTCCGCCTGCGAACATCCAATACCAGCTTGACTGATGCTGCTGAATCAATGGACACGGACCATGGCTTCATTGGAACCTCAAGCATGCACGAGCCGGACTTCACTATATGCGATGTCGCTGGCGGTCTGGCAGCTTGGGCTGCTGAAATTGACTCCGAATTTCCTGTGTACTAATTTCAATTTGCTTTTTGTACATACAAATTTCGCTTTCGTAATGAATAAATCCTTCGATAAGACGGTTCGTCCGCGAGATCTGGCTTTTGTCTGCTCGCAGGCGACTGTCTGCTTCCACAGCAACACACTAAAGGTAGGCCTCGAAAAAGGGCGAAATTTAGAGAAAACAGTTTTGAACTCCTGCGGAATTGCACCTAGCGGTCGCGTTATGGGTCAAAAGTGACAAACCCGTTTTCCTTTTCGTTCGTCTTCCAAAGAATGCGCTCTTTCTATGCCTAACCGCCGTAGAACTCGAGGGAGCCATATGGGTTGGAATAGTGGCAGGTCGCCTAATCCTAGACAGAAATAATCGAAGAGTGACGCTTGGGCTCGAACCACCTCGAATGAGTAGTTATGCGCCTTGATTGCGAAACGATAATCTACTTCATCTGAGTGCGGCTTACTGTATTAACTAGTCGAAACTAAAATAGCAGACGGCATAAAGTGGACAAAAAGCTTACCGTGACAACATCGCGGTGCGACGTTTTTTGGACCTCCTAAAGCAACTGAGCTACGTTGCTTGTGTCCAACATTCACAGAGTACCATACGAAGTTGGCCAGTTCTCAGTGCTGGGAGCAACATAGTCCTCTAGCTCTCCAGGTCGGGGTTGAAACGTGTGTGGTGACTCGTTCTGGAAAAAACTAAAATGCACCTGTATTTCTCACCGAACACCGCTGCCTTTCGGGCCAAAGATAGAATACATTAATCACTCTACTCTCTATGTATGTGCTCCCCAGCTATGTCCACATACAACCATGAATTGCACACAAAAATAACCACATAACCCATCGGCCATCACCAACCGGGTCGCCTTGCTTGCTGCATACACCAGGGCGGATAAGCGAAATCAGGCTACTTCTGATGCCCCCTTCTTTCTCCTCACTTCCCCCACCGCATTAATAACTCTCTCCTTGTAGGCCAATCAGTTATGACTAATAACTCCGTTTGTCCTGCATCCCTTTTGCAAGCAACATCTTGTCGTCCGGCGCCGACATGCTCAGACATCTCGAAATCAATCTTCGAACCTTGAGATCCAGTCTCTCTGGCTGCCCTTCTGAATTAAGCAGGGCAACAAGCTGCTCTTGTTGTCACACTGCATTCACTTGGCATTGGTGTGTGCTGAGTAGCATAGACAAGAATTCAAGTTCCGAACACAGTGGTTGAGCTGACCGCCCCATCATTCTTCACCTGCTTCCGGGTGCGCACCTCTGGGAATCCAGCGGCTGCTGCGATAGGGTGTGTAGGGATTGTCATTGTCTTAGGTCACCGGGTGGAAGGATCCTTGTTTGACTTACTACCCGCTCTTTTTACTTCCCACTGGTAATTTCCTGTGTGCACCTCTGAAGGAATCCCACAAACGGGAAGTTGGTTGCTCTCTGTTTGTCGTGTCTGCTTACGCCTCAACCGACTTTTACTCTGATACCATCAAAGACAAGTTTTGAATACCCTGCTGCGGCGAACTAAAAGCTCAAATATCGTTGTGATCGTCGGAAGTCTGAATGAACATGTGGGCTGGCTTAGCGCATCTGAACGCTAGAAGTTCTCCGAAAACACGGTGTTCAAATGGCTTTTGCCGAAAACCCTGTTGATCTGGAATATGCAGACGACATCGTTCTCATCTTCGAGGAGGAGAATTAGGCGCAGTTGTTTTTGCATGAACTGACCCAAATCATCCCGTCGTCTCGCATGCGGCTGTCACTCATAAAATGTTAGGCCATGCTACTGGATATGCAGCACTAAACACGCCACTTAAAATTCAAGAAGCATTGGAGGTTGCGGAACGTTTCACTCATCTTATAAACCGTATTAGTTACGATTACAGTGTCATTGCACGACTGCACACAGAGACACCTCGCATCAAAGCGATATAAGGCGGCTTCTCAGGTGACGTGTGTATCAGGCTACGGTACGATTTGTTTTGTTGTACGGCTGAGAAGTGGGGATCGACAAACCTTCAAGTCACAGACAACCGTTGACTGAGATCAGTAGGTCGTGCAGGGTGTCGGCGAACCCGTAACGACGCAATCAGAAGGCGAGTGTTCGGTTGTGCAACGGGGACTCCATCAGAGCATGTGTCCGGCACCGGATGCTGCGTTTATCAGGCCGTGTTGCGCGTGTCGAACCATCGTTTGTCGAAGGGGGTGCTGTTGTCCATTTCAGATATGTGACTACCCGTTTACTTAGCAAAGGGGTGTGAGAGAAATTACGAAATGGTTGTATGCTGTCGTTGCTACTTCCAGGATGGAGAGCAAATGGTCCCCACCGTGTCGCGTTAAAGGTGCTGCATTATACGGCTGCTTCTTGTCAGTTCCTATCCCGATTGCCTGAATGAGTGTCTGGAGGTGTTTGCACCTCACGATGATTGTAGTAAGCTATCAACCTCCCCGTCCGCTTTGATTCTTTTTCTCAAAATATGGCTTTCAAATAAATCTTGGTTGTACGCAGCGAAGCACCAGTTTTGACCACTGATGCTGATGGCGATTCGTGCCGTAATGTGCACAATTCCTGGATTATTTCAGTGTTTCTTATGTCTGCATGGTAGGCGTTTGAGTAAATGCAGTTGGGAGACTGGTTTCATATGAATAGTATGCACCAAGTAGGCATCGACAACCCTCCTTTTTATTGTTTATATAGCCTGTTCTATACATGATTATTTAGTCTTGAAACCCAATTATCGAACTCAGCTGTTCGGCTTATCCTGGGTATTGGGCTTTACTCAAACCAAACTCTACCGAATTCAGCGACTGACGGTCCTTCTACGTACTCATTGTAACTTCTCTGAAGTTAGCTTCGATGTGCTTCCCGCAGACCGAAGCGGCAACATGAGAACTTAAATCATGGTGCTAGGACAGAACACCCTCAGACTGAATGACTGTTCGTCTACTGAAGCCTTCTAACGGTTAGGTCCCTCCCTGAAAGGGTTTACTGAGGTCAAATTTCTTCATGTTACTGGTCTTTAGTAATCCCGGTTCCCTTTTTGAAGTAATCTGTCATCAGAGAACGATATTCATCGTCTAACGTAGTGTGCTATGGAGAACCATTACATTCCCGTCTACCCTTCAGGACTGAAGCGGACCGGGATTGCCATTCCGTACCCGACCTTGTTTAGTTTTGTGAAGGACCTGGCTTTACCTTTTGAAGCACTCGAAGATGCAACATTCCATCTACATTTTCGGATTGGTTGCGAGTTTAAATTTGTGCGTAAGTCCGATTCAAGTCCACTCTGAACATGACAGCGCTTCCTTAACTGAGCTACTGCATACCAAGCGTAACTAGCGGATTTGCACGCCAGCGTTTCGGATCTACTTATCCAACGCGCATTCTGATTTCTTGCTGTTCCCTCGGCCGTTGACTGGAGTTGTGATAGGCGGAATTATTCTTCGACTTTAAAGTTGATTAGTGACGATAGAGGGACCGTTGTGGTTTCTGGATACGGAGTATAGAATCCTATAAAACAGACTTTAGGTAACGATATCCCATCCTGGTGAATGACTGAAGGACAGTTCGACAGAGTTAGGTTCGCGAGAACCTGTTTGAAATTACTTCTTAATGGAAGGCTGAAGAGGAGGCACAGAACGAATAGAAAACATCAGTAATCACAGTAACATTGTGTCAACCCGCTGTCTGAAAAGGTTTGTCTCGTCACATGTTCTATAGAGATTGCACAACTCGGAACAAATTGTAGAATGGAAAGATTCATCGACAGTGTCTCCTGAAAACAACACGTAGGAGGAACGAAAAGACCGTGCTTTATGAAGGGAAATCTCGACCAGGTACACAGGTAGTCAGCGTTTAAACCGAAACCGTGGACAGGAAAAGTGCCTACAGAATTATGGTTGAGGGACGTTGATCACAGCCACGGCAAAATTGTGACCCGCATAACGTTCCCATAAATGGACTCAGGCTGGAAGGCATTCCGGACAAATAAGAACATATAATAAGGTATTCGTTACAGGTATCGGAAGTAGATGTAGGTGAATATCGCCAAGATGACCACACAAAGCAGGACGTAGAAAACCCATGCGGATTGCATATTTAGCGACGCTGCATCTTGGCGGTACTTCTTCGACATTGTGGACAAGTTTGACGCGCGCGTATCAAGCGCTGTAAATAGGTAAAAGTATGGATCCATATATACTCCGAACTCTTCCAGACAAATTATACGTGTCCTTTTTAAATATGAGCGAAATGCAGATAAACTAGGTAATATACGAGAGGAAACATGTTACGAAGTATCGCCAAGGTGTGCAAGTGGAAAAGAAAACCTACATTTGATGCGGGAAATTGTCACCCGTCATCCGGTTAAAATAACTACCAGACTAACCATTAAGTGAACAGCATGCAGAATGAATCTGCTTGTCAAGATGTAAATCATGTGAAGAACACTGGCGTCAGAACGAGACCAAGACGTTCGTAGTATGGAGTGGCTGGCTGCTACGGTCTTTCACACTGGCGTCAGAACGAGACCAAGACGTTCGTAGTATGGAGTGGCTGGCTGCTATCGGTCTTTCATAGGTAGTTTCTTTTGGAAAGGGATGAGACACATTAGAATGGTGATCGCTCCTCAATTTTCTTTGAAAATAACCACGTAATTATTTGTAACCAAAATAACCTAAACCACCACCTCTGAACGCAATAAATGATTTACTGCCCTTGTATAAGTGCGGGAACGATGCTTCAGTCGAATGAATATGGGGAATCGGTGTGTGCAAGGAAAACTATACTGTACATAAAATTACCCCGTGGCACAACCGGTAATACCGAAGGTATCGATGAAATTTGGCTTAATGGTAATGGAGCCCGAAGGTTAACGATGGTTTCAAGACTACAAGGTACGACGAGGAGACGCTTCAAGGGGGCTTGGTAAACGGTTGATGAAGGTATTGCCGAACATGGTAAAATTCGAGCAAACTTTCGTCAGGTCAAGTGAATTAGTCAACAGGTTGATTAAGGGTGGACGGAGAGGTCTGTTCAGACTAAACTTAATCAAGGTTCGTATGGTTTTGTTAAAAGGTTCCCGTGCTGCTGTTGAGGCCATACAAGGCTGTTGTTAGATTTTATGTCAACTTGGTATGCATGAATGTTCTTAAGGTGGCCGCTAACGGCGGACACAAATCGCCATAGATGAGAGTTGAAGGCAGCGGACTATTCTTGAACCCCGGTCATCTTGTTTTTGACTCCATTACATGCTCTACAAAACAATCGGATTCTCCAGTATCCCCGATTTTGGCTTTTGGACAGTTAAGAATAAAATAACCCAATTTTGACGGCACTGCTTTGTGAGCCTGATGTTTTCCACAGCAGTGATGGAGTCGGACCGGAAATAAGAGACCAACAGAAGAGCCAAGTTTGTGTCCACCCCATTAGGGGTATAAGGAATTCTACCACTTACCAGAAAGAGCTTCTCCGCGCTGCAAAACATCGTCTATGTTCTGAACCATTATCCGCTGGACATCTTGTAGGGCCACATTTAGTTGATTCATGTTGGAGGATCTGGTGTCTGTGTAAGTCTTCTGGGTTTGGTGGATGAAGCGATCTTTGAGGGAGGAATAGGAGTTGGAAGCTGTTAAGGGACCTCCGTCTAAGAATGCCATTTGGTAACGAAATGTGTACGGTAGGATAGATCACAACGAAATTTTACGTCAATTATCAATGTGAGATGATCCCTTTGGAAGTGTTTTCAGCGAGCGAAAGTCTGAGAACGTAACAAGAAATCGCCCGGTACAGACACTTTTCCAATAATACCCGAGAGAATCGTGCCTTCTGACATAATCAGGGGTACCGGATGAGGAACACATTTCAACCAACACAGATAGGTCACACGCAATGAGTGTATTTATGCCATTTCCTGTCATTATTCACAATTGTCCCGATGTTTTTCACTGATGTCCTATTTAATCTCGCCATAATGCAGTGAGTCAGCTGATTCGGATGCATTCCTCATCTAAGAATTTTGCCATGGATGGTACTACAAAATCGCCAGCTCCACCACCAATCCCGAATCAGATGGTGGAGCTGTTTTGCTCGCATCTGTACCACAGATTCGATAATGACGAGAGCCGTCTACGCATAGACGAAAGTGGGATGTAAATCATGGAACTTGGTTGTAGGATCATTCTCACACGAGACAGCCGAGGTAAAGTAGTTTGCAGTTCTTCCAGCCAGAACGATGAGCAACTGTCACATAGAGCACAATGCATCACCCCTACTAATTAAGTTATCGTTTCATTATGACTTGAAAGCCTTGGAAATTGTTAGAACAAGAGCAACTCGTGCCGACAAAAGCAGACAGATCGAATAGCGGGATGAGATGAGCGAAGACCCCGTGGAATCCCGAACCGAAACAGCTCACAACTGGGCGCTGCTGCGGCCGAGAAAACCATTCCGCACGCGATTACCAAGATCGCATCGCTTGCAAGTCCAGCATCAAGGCGAGCTCTGATTCGTCGAAAGTCAGGAACTAAGAGCCAATCATGATCCATTATCTGCCGAATGCCGATTGCTAATGCTGAGTCCAGAATTTGCATATTGTTGTCGCTTCATAAGCGCTAAATACGATGTGAGATAGCCGATGTAATGTAGTTTGTATGGTACTCGTTCTTCCGGCCAGAATGATGAGCAACTGTCACACAGAGCACAATGCATCACCCCTACTAATTAAGTTATCGTTTCATTATGACTTTAAAGCCTTGGAAATTGTTAGAACAAGAGCAACTCGTGCCGACAAAAGCAGATAGATCGAATAGCGGGATGAGATGAGCGAAGACCCCGTGGAATCCCGAACCGAAACAGCTCACAATTGGGCGCTGCTGCGGCCGAGAAAACTATTCCGCACGCGATTACCAAGATCGCATCGCTTGCAAGTCCAGCATCAAGGCGAGCTCTGATTCGTCGAAAGTCAGGAACCAAGAGCCAATCATGATCCATTATCTGCCGAATGCCTATTGCTAATGCTGAGTCCAGAATTTGCAGATTGTTGTCGCTTCATAAGCGCTAAATACGATGTGATGCACACGTTTTTGACCTGATATTTTGGCGTTTGGTACACGTTGTGCAACTTTGATGTTTTGTTTGACGAGAATTCTGCCTTGCAAGGTGTAAACCGAGGACTCAGCTGAGGCATCATCGTTATTACAACTTGAAGACTGCCTTCGGCTGAAAATCTAGGCTAACCTGAACTGAAGTCTTGCAGCTGAGGCATCATCGTTATTACAACTTGTAGACTGTCTTCGACTGAAAATCTAGGCTAACTTGAACTGAAGTCTTGCTTTCTCCAGGCTGATCACTAGGCTGTCTTTATCACTTCTTAGCTTTCTCGCTTCTAATTACATCTAATTTTCTCCAGTCTCGCGCAACCACTTCAATCCAACCTCCCGCAGCGTCAGCTCAAAACAGCCAGGAGTACTGGAAAACTTGCAACTCTGTTCGCATCAAAATAGTTTTTTGTTACAACCTAAATAACCCGGACCAGCGTATCACATACGGAGAGTGGGGTTTTCTTGTATAGTTGAGTCCTTCAAAGAATGTTCTTATTTGGGCGAGAAACAAGAAAATAATACAAGAAATAAGGTGGCAAATCGATGGAAATGATAACAGGTGGTAATGGAGATAAAAAAAAGAGAACAGGCGTGGCTTTTTACCGCCTCATCTAATGAGGCTCCTTAAAATCTGTGTTTAGCACACTCAATTAAGCCCAAACCTGGACAGTTTATTTGGGGGATTTGGACGATTTGGAAGGACTCAGCACCATTAAGCCCAAACCTGGACAGTTTATTTGGACGATTTGGAAGGACTCAGCACTTCAATGTCCTGTAGAATCTTAATTAGAGGGGAAACAATCCAGCAGGAAGCCGACTTCAGATACCTTCGTTCCCGGATTTCAACCAACAGGCAGGCTAAAGAAGAAACTCAACGGCAAGACTTCATGGTACAGAAGTGCTTCAGGTGGTGAATAAAACAGAGCCGATACGTTAGTTCAATTGCAGTCTGAAGGAGTCAGAAAGACGGTAATCGACCTCATAATAGTTGTTTCCAGAACTCTCGCGGAAAGACGTCTTCCAGATTACATTACACGACTGGTTAAAACAGTAGCGTAGGCTGAACAAGGTTGAAAGTTGTGAAAAAGCTGTTTATAGGGTACTGAGGTTTCTTCATCAATATAGAGTTATGGTAACATTATAAGAACATAAAAAACAATGGCGCTGTCTGCACCTTACTCATAAGCCTAGCAAGGGCTTTAAGGAGATAAATAGGTCGAAGAATATGGCAGTGCATGTTTGTAGACAAAGTGGTCTCGCTCGTCTCCATCCACAAACAAAATTCGTTGACTGGAAACGCATGTCTAGTTACATAGTCAACATCAGTGAAACAGGTTTGGTGGACAGCATGCTCCATCGAATTACGCGCGATTACCGATCATCATGACCCACCTAGGGAACATGGTATGACACCTGAAACAGACAGTACTCAATAGCCCTTCGTGGGCGGACAAGTATTTCCGGCCACTGGTTTTGAATGACCGCTCAACCCTTAGTTGGAAGACAAACACTGTTGCTTGCGTGGAGCCGAATCTATGGTAGAGTTATGGATAGCATGACCCAGCCTAATACCGATCACTCTCCAGGAAACAACGCAGGAGCCCAAAGATAAAAACGTTACCACCATGTTTACAAGAGAAGTCAACAAAAGTATGGTATTCCAAAACACGTTCAGGTAGGCAATCAAAGACGGTATCAAACAACATGATCATCGTGGTTCAATGTAAAATGTTTTGAGACACACGAATGATCGGGTGAGTGCACGGCCTACACATACCTAGCCCGGGCACGTCCATCGGCCGAAGACACGTTCGATGGCGTCAAAACCAACACCTAGCAGCTTACATTGCACGCGACAGGTGGGTTCTAAGTGGATATTCCAGCTGCTAGCCGAAACCATATTTCAGGACTCTACAACGAAAGTTGAACAGCCAACAGGTACAAGAGCGACATCAGTTGGAGAACCAGCACTGTGAGAGGTAGAGTGTAATTAAGAAGACGTACACCATACATCCTGGACTGCGCTTCTACAACGAAAGTTGAACAGCCAACAGGTACAAGAGCGATATCAGTTGGAGAGGGGTAGAGTGTAATTAAGAAGGCGTACACCATACATCCTGGACTGCGCCAATTTTTTGCGTTTGGTTTAGGTTAGCCTTAATAGCACTTCGCACCATTTAGTATGCAACAGGACGTTTCATTGTGCAACTATCGAAACTAATTAAAATATCAACCAACAACTGTCGTGTATCGAAAGACTTGAATGCCTGCAGGTGAATCGGCGCCGAGTAAATGAAGAAAAAAGACAAGAAAAAGAAAAAAGAAAAAAGAAAAACGCCGGCGGAGACTTTCAAACAGTGGAACAGTTAGTAGAATTGCCTAGTCAGGAGCATGAGAAACACATATATGTACAAAACCCAGTGGAAGACTGTTCCTTATTATGGTAAATAGATTTCTTGTTTGTTTAAGTCACACTTCCGTTTATTCCGATGTGCCGCCGTTTTAATTCTGGTGCAAAAGTGCTCAGTGACTGTAGTGATTGGTGGACCAGGATCGATGAGCAGATAATACCGATATGCTCCAGCTAATGGAAACATTGATCGGACGGAAATGAAGTTGATCAGGACAGATGGGTTCGACGTACTCTGATAGGGTACCTCACTCATCGTTCCCCCCAACGATGAACCTTAACAGTAGCTTCACTGCAGTAGCCATAATGCCAATTCACAGCGTGGACTAGATCAAATGAGGATAGAGCACAAGGCTACCGAAACTCAATGAAGTTCAACAGTGGGACATGCAGAGAAGTGCTCCACAATTATCTATCTGCCTTTCAGATAGCGACTCATTCGGAAAAACAGAGGATATGCACCCTGGACTAAACCCATATCACTTCCGTATGACATTCCATGAAGAAAGTCATTCTAAATATCATCCGAAACAAAGCGCAATATAGGCAACTTGCGTAGTACCGTGTCCACATTCGTACTACATGGCTCCAGTAGCTTCACAAAACCAAGCATTATGAACGGATGTGTTTCGTACTTGGCAAGCAATTCTTTGGATAAACGAATGTAAAGGATAATAAATAAAAAAAGATGGAAGGGCAGTCCATCAAAACGGTTGACTCACCAAAATCCAAAAACGCATACGGTCGGGAGACAGTGTCAATTTTGGATGAGTAGTCCCCGTAAAATTGAGTTTGTATGGCCTCCAAAAAGGCGAACGCCTTGGTTCGGTTGAACTGACTTTCCGTCAAAATAAGATAACATACACCTCGGTCGAGCAGATAGTGGAATACATACGGACCGGCGATAAGGGAACACCGCGAGGGGGAGGTGGGTGTTAGACGACATACCAGTTGTTTTGCCTGATTCTGATATTGGACGATGTGGCGACTGAGCTAAATAAAATAAACATTAGAATGAAGCAGAAACAGTGATTAAATGGGTAATCCGACAAGGGTTAAAAAACAAACCATATGGCGATTACGTGAAGACGAATTCAGTGAGGTAGTCTAATTTAATTACCTATCAGCTGAAAAGCCTGTATTTTCCGTAAGTCACTTGATTTCACCATTCACTTGTCTGTTTTCAGGAGGCACAACACTCTACGGCCAAGATACTTGAATCATCACTGGTCTCGACAGCAGAACAGTAGCACTATATACTGGCGCTCAACTGACGTACAACCATCAGAAAAGAGAGTGGACATTTGGTTTCTCATGAGTTCTTCGTGAAAATGATAAATTTAAAGACCGACCAACCGGGTCTAAATTAAAACTGCGAATGGCCAAATTTAGGGCGACAGGAAAAGTTAATGAGATTCCGCAAAAAAATTGAGTACTTAAGGTCCTAAAAACATTTGTTTGTCTCCACTGCGCAAAAAGTATAATCTAGACGGGAGCAAATAGAGACAACAGTACGAAACAAAGACGAAACTGATGTCTCAAGAAAGACTGGATATTTGTCTTGACGTACATTCGGCTGAAATATAAAACTTCAATTTTGATCGTTCTAACTCTGATGACAGTCTAAGGGTGGTCCCGATTGGGGGATCTGTGTATTAGGTGTCCCTGTATGTGTATCCTAAGCTATATTGTCGGCTGTAGCGAGTCGGCGCATCAGCTGAGCTTATGACGTACAGTCTGAATTGATAGTTAAAAGATAGACCCGAGTCAATAGCGTAGAGCGAAAATAAACTATTTTCAGGACAATAATATACATCCCCTTTGGTTCTATTCCTCGCAGGGCATCCAGAAAAAACTCTGTGCTTTCAAAGTTGTCCCCTATCTCGATGCATCTCGTCTTCAGGAGTTTTCACGAAGGAATAAGTAGTGTAAAACCTGTGTCATGATATGAAAGACCTCCAAAAACCAAGTCGGAAAATTTTACATCCGGTGTTGATAGTAGTCATATGGGACACATTCAGCATATTGTCTCATATTCCGTTCGGCACTCGCAAATGACGACAGATTAGAACATCACCACAGTGAAATAATCCACAAAATGTGCACATTACAGTACGAATCGTCATCATCGACAGCATAACATCAATGTTCAACACTGGTGCTTCGATGCCGTACAACCACGATCTCTATGAAAGCAATATTGTGAAAGAAAGTGGACGGGGAGGGGACAAACATTCCGAAGTGCCTACACATCCAGAAACTCATTCGGGCAATCTGGATAGAAACCGACAATGACATCGATTAGAACCCATTTCTTACAGTGTCTCCAACTAGACGCAGTGAGAATCATGCGGTCCCATCCTGGAGGGCCAGTAGCACCGATAGCACCCAGACTTTTCGTAATCTCCTTCATACCCCTCTTCTAGGTCAAGGGTTGGTCACCTTCTTGCTTCTGCCACTCTGAAATCGGCACGGAAAACAAACGATGGTTGCGCGCACGCAAAACATGTCCCAACCAACATAGCTTCTGGTGCTGGACACATCCTCCGATGGAATTCTCTGTTGCGAAACCGAACACTGGCTTTCTAATTGCTTCGTTAAGGAACAGCCGACACCAACCCACACGAGCTATGGTTCTGAGACAACGGTTGTCAGGCACCTGAAGACGTCCCAGGTAAGCTGATCGAAAAGGTCAACTTTCGGTCATCCAACAAAACAGTCCATGCTGTAACTTGATATACACGTCCTTTGAAATTCAGGGATACAACGCATTCAAGCCTTAAAAGTCTGACCGGAGGCATGCAGATTCGTGCGCTGACCTCTTACAATCAGAATTAATAGAGCATAAAATATATATAAAGTGCTCCACAACTTCGAGTAACTCTCCTTGGATTGTAAACGGCGAGTTTAGCGACTGCATGTCCAGGAACGGTATTTTAAACTTTGTGGGTTCAAATTACATGCCGAAGGACGTAATGACGCACATCAGCTCATCCGAAAACACCTCTTCGAAGACGAGAACGATTGCGTCTGCATATCCCATATCGACACGGTTTTCGCCAACAGTTATTTGAACACCAGAGTTTCTAATACATTCCAGCGTTCGTCTTAGTATCTCGTCGACCACAAAAGTAAATAAGACCGACGACAATGGACACCTATGACGGACACCGATTTGTCATCGGGAGATTTCGGAGAGCACTTTGTATACTCGCACACGCCCGAAAGTCGAATCATGGAAATCACACTGAGGAACTTCCGGGGCTATATTTGAAGGGCAGGTGTGTCAAGGAGCACAGACCAGTCAACTGAGTCGAATAAACTTTGGAAATCCAGGAATACTGAAACTGTGGGCCGTTTGTACATATGGCGTTGTAGCATCTGAGGGAGCGTGAAGATTCCGTCAACGCAAACATTACCAGGCCGGAAGCCCGTTTGCTGCTCTCCGGTCATCATAAGTCGACGAAGCACAAGTGACGCCCAGAGTCCAGTTACGACCGGGATTGAGTTTATTCCCTTGTGATTACTGCACTCATCTCGAGTCCTCTTTTTCAATTTGGTCACTATCAACGATCCCGCCCAGTTGTCTGGAACAATCTGGAGCAAACACTGATTGAGGACTTCATCCCCACGTTTGAGCAAAGCGGGTTGGAGATCATCTGGACCAGAAGCTCTGTAGCGCTTGAAAGAACATATGAATTCATAAGCCCCCAAAGCCGTAAGGGGTCTCATGGTCACCGTCCAGGGTTCTACGTTAGCTGTGGACTCTGGATGACTGTCAGCTGGTGACCAAGATAATTGCTCCTCGAAGTACTGAGCCCAATGTTCGACGTGTTCATCTTTATTCAGGATGGTCGCTCCATTCTGATCCGTGGTGGCTTCGTTCACAGGTGGTTTCCGGGAGCCCTAGGACGATATAATCCCCTGTTCGTCCTGCCAAAGTAGCTACTAGATTGTCAGAGGTGGGTAGCCGGAAGTGAGTGGAGAGTGATGGTGCTGTTGGCTCCAACGCTGTGCTTGCATCTGAAGTTCTTGTTTCTGGTTCACAGTACGCAATGTCACGTGACACTAAAAGGAGCTAGTTGACCTGCTTTCTTCAGCGCGGGAACACTAAAACCAGCCAGACAGACTGGTTGTTGAGACTTGAATATTGATTTCGATATACCTGAGGATATCAGCGCTGGATGAAGCGCCGATGTTGCTTGCAAAAACGATGCAGGACGAACGGAGTCATCAGTCCAAACTGATGGGCCTACAAAAAAGTTATCATTGGGGTGAGTGAAAGGAAGAAAAAGTATGTGATCGAAGTAGGAAGGAGGCATCAGGTTGATTCATTTATCCCCTCCATAGATCGTGACCGAGCTCAGTCGACATCATCAGAGCTTCACTTGGATCAGCGTCGACCCACACAGTCGTGATAGCCAGCCTGAAGTAAATTTGGACTGTTTTAATCTAAACATGGTTGCTTTTAGTAGCTTGGATACTAAATGCCTCATACTATGATAGATTTCATAAACAGGCGAGCCTTGGGTTGCAACACTGTACATCGCGTTCACCAGTTTTGCGTGGGTTCACAATCAGCGTACCAGGTCATGGAGAATTTCAAAAGTAAGAGCTTCTGGAAATTCTCCAGAAGAAATGCTCAGGTCGTGTCTTAAGCTGAAACCGGTATCGACTGGTGACAAAAATCGGCAATATTTCGCATCAACGCTCCAAACTCAATTCAAAACACCAATCTAGAATCACGTCAGGTGTTGGATTTAAGTATTTTCAAGGTCACTGTCAATCTTTTGCAGTGCAAGCTTTGCTCATCTGCACAGAATGTTCTACGTGGAATTCAGTCATGCAGTGACAGAAGAGAAGTGCAATAAAATCTACCCAAAAAACGTCTCCGTTGTTATCAAACATTTGAACACTGGTGGATTTGCAGCAGAGCAACAGTTAAGTAACTGAAGCGGGTTCGCGACTAAAGCAATATTTGGTAGGTAGGTAGAACTTCTGGAAAGCAAATAAGGTTTTTCAGGTTACGATGTTCTAGGTAGATCCAGCAGTCGCCTACAAAAAACATTCGAAAATACTCAAAGGCAGACATTTTGCTGGAAAAAGACATTAACAAGACAATGCAAAATCAGAGGTTACAGTCAAAAAGGGTGACGTAAAATCTCTGCATCTTTTTGGCTAAGTTCACCGTGACCCTCCCTATACGTGTTTGAAAACCCTACAAGGTATGGCGCACAACCGATACCGGCGGTGAACCTGTTGTAATCGCCTACTCTGTCGTTGTGCGTTGGGCTTGTGTTGAATAAGGCCGGCAAAGGAGGCGAAACGAACCCCACTGATTGTCCGGCTCTTCACATAATAAGTGTTCATTTTAACACGCTTCGAGAGACACTAGGCTTTCTCGCACTAATTTCCACCGTTCCTCTTTCTTTTCACTCTACAGAGAACGTCCCTCCTGTACGACAGTTGGGCGAGGGTGTTTAATCATAATATATTGCTGTCTACAGTGCCTCTGTCTCCCATGGCACACAAAACCGTAT